TAAGACTTTCAAAACAGGACTTAGAAGCATGATTCTTGCTAAAATTAGTGGGAGCTGTGCATCTACATCCATGTCATCTTTGAAATCTCAGCCTGTAATATTCCTTGTTAGTCTTTTCCCTCATCAGGCATGTAGGAAAGAAAACATTTTCTGTGACTGAAAACACAAGTAGTTGTCCATCCAGAACTACTGGAAACCATGCCAAGTTGTCTTGAGTGCTAGGCGGGCTATACGGTACATACTAATTCATTTAAGAACAACTGAAAAATGTTTAAAGCCTTGCAAAGGAAATTAGGGGGCACAGGTGTTAGACTTCTATAGGTTTATATAAAAATGCACAAGGTTCCTAGTGCATTGTAAAATGAAGGAGCAAAGAAGGCCAAAGTCTTTAACCATCTGAAACAATCTAATCATCCTCTGGAAATGCACTGTTTGGGGTGACTATGTTAACTGAAAATGGAGTGATCAAATAAAGTCAGGCTGATAAATCTCCTGAGTACTACTAACTTACTTGTAATATTATTGAAGATGAGTAGTATGACTGGTGTCTCAAGTCTAAAAGCTATGACATTCAGAGGAAGGTAATTGAAGCCTGCCATTCCAAAGCCCTGGGTACATGTGCAGATATTATCAATGCAAATTTTACAGCCAATGATTTGCATCAAGATAAAAATTAATTCTTATTTTGGCTGCCTTGGGATTGATCCATGAGAGAGCACAGGAAGAAATAATAATAGATTTGTAAGTGACTATGTATCAACTATGACTTTAAGACAGGGAGTAAGATAAACAGAAAAACACCTGCTCTCTCCCACACTCAGCTTTCACAGCAGAGAACACCAGAAAAGACCAACAGACTTTTTGTCTCATATAAACATAAAAAATGCAGGTACAGATAGAATAGGAGCAGTGATTTTTCAATAGAAAGACCCCAGATTGAAGGCAGTCCGATTCCAGCAGCCCCTATTAAGCACAGACTACCAGTTTAAGAATCACAGCTTATTCCAGCTTTGTAAGAACTCAAAAAGAGACAGAGAGAGTGGATTCTGGTGACACCAAATACCCAAATGATTTAGTATTTCATAGTGAAAATTGCGGTATGGATTGTCCCTAGAAACTGAGTGGAGGACAGCGCAGACTGTAAGTAAAGATGTCATGAACTTCTGCAATTCCGTATTATTGCTTTCAGGACATTTTAAGATGCCTTAAGACAGAGACCCAGGTAAAAAGCACAGTAGTAATTCTGGTTTGAGGTGACAAAGGCATATGAATGCATTGCCTCTGAAAGAGTAGGTAACAGACTTCTGATGGAGATAAAAGGCACAGATTTTATGTTATGGACTTGTTCCCTTCTGTGAACTTCTAAGAACAAATGCCCAGACGTTAAGCATCTAAACACAGAAAAGCTGCAGCTGTTCAAGGAACTATATCACCTCCACCTTTTGGGGGGGGTTATTTTTTCTACATATCATCAATTACAGATTCAGTTGCAAGCATTTGCCCGTCTGTGATTCATCTTACTGTCTGAGCTAGTCCCCTGCAATAGCTGGCTGCATTAAAACAAAGAGCTGAGTGCCCCTTGCATATCTGAAGGACAATCATTCATCTCATCACCATTTCTGCTAACCACCCTTCTCCAAACACAGGAGAGCACAGAACTTTGAAGCGGGTACTCGTGAAGTTGGTGAAAACATGAATCAAAACCAGGAGATTCTCTAGGACACAGAAACCTGAAGCCACTCGAAAATTGCTGCACGTATTCCTGGCAGGCTTCACAATGGGAATAAAACCAACTCAAAGTCAACTATTAGACCAAAATGATTCAGCATGGTTGCTTGATTTTAATTCAGCAAATTAGTTAGCGCAGTCCCTGTATTAAGTCTGTTTTCCAACCTAAAAAGCCTTAAAAATACCAGATTTTGCTGGGTCTACTTGTAAAACTGTATTTTATATTAACACAGCTAAAAATGCTGCAGTGGTGAATTATCTAATACTCTCTGCATTGGGAGAAGGTATCATCCTACTCTTCAAAAAAACCTCTCTAGCAAACTTTTCTGGTAGGCACCCTCCTAGGTTTTTCTTAGTCCCTCTGGTTATTGCTATGGAGAACAAGGACCAGCTTCTGTAGTTCCCACAAAGGTCTCTAAGAGCCTCACTAACCAACCCTGATATCAATGACTAATTTTAATAAGGGTCTTGGGCATTAGACCACTGACAGTTTAATTCAATATTCTTAGAATTATCATTGCTGATTATTGTTATATACATTGAACTGATGGTGTATAATCTAAATATTTTATGTGTATTTGAAATGGTCTTTTTACTCATGATTCAAAATACCATTTATTGCTCCATATTTCTAGCGAACCATTAAATCAGTGCACTCATTGTGCTTCTGCACAGGAAGTTTAGAAAATATGATTCTCCAAATCATTTGTTTTCCGCACTGCTTATCTCCAAGGTAGATAATTTGGATAATCTGTTTTCTAAATGTGAAACACAAGGCAGCCTGCAGTCATCATGACTACTTATGAGTCTCTTCAGAGTAACCCTAGTGGGAGGCAGTTCAGAATCTTCACTTTATTTAATCTCCTGGTTTCTCTTTGCACAATAGCAAATAAAGGCTCCAATTATACAGGTGTTTGTTGCACGGACAACTTGTTCCTAAAGGTCTTGATTCTGCAAAGCACAAGGAGTTTTACAGCTGCAGAGCCACCAAAATACTTAAGCACTGATTTAACTTTAAGCGAGCAAGCCTACTGATTTCAGTGAGACCATCAGCATAACTACATCTGAAATCAGCCTACAACCAATATTTCTGATTCAGGAAAGTGCCAATGCACTCAGTTAGTTTTACATGTAATCAAGAAAGCCCCCTAGCCTGAGGTTAAGCAAAAGACTTTCACAGCACTGAATATCCATGAGAGAATACATGTTTTTTGCTACCAAGATGACATAAAAATATAATACAGACACAAAAGGCATCATATACGGTTACCAACTCAGTGAGCTGTCCTCATTTTCATGTATTCCAAATGCAAAAGAGAGAGATTAATGCATGGTTGCAACTCAGCATAGTTAAAAGAGGATTTGAATTACCTCAGGCTGTTGTCTCCTTGCTTACATTCACAGACAAAATCAAATTAAGGCAATGCTACAGCTGTTCATTAGGACCTTGCAGCTCTTTTATCACATTGAGTTTCTTTGTAAACCAGCAACTCTTGTGAACTAGCTGCAAAAGACCCAGCAGCTGATCTCAATTTGAGGACAAGCTGAACTACAGGTGTGTAACAAAAACTTTTGGAGCAACATGAGGATTTTGTCAGAAACTGCTTTAAGGGGTGGCTCTCATAGAAAGCTCAGAAGCACCTCAAGAGATCATTTGGTTGTCCCAAGGCAAGATTAGCTCTAATCACATCATACTTGACTAATGCATGTTCAACCTGTTCTTAAAGACTTCCAGTGATAGACGTTGCTCCTTATCTTCTCTAGGCAATCCAGTGCTGTGCTTCACTATCCCTCCTCTTTGAATATCTTAGATACCTCAGGTAACTCTGCCTTGCTTTAATATATACTATTAAAACAGAAATAAAATCTTATTAAATAAAAGCCTGCAGCAGATATGGAGAGGAATTTATTCCTTGCTTCTTTGCACTCTTCATACGTTTGAAAACTTTATTGTATCTTCCCGTAATCTCCACTTCTCAAGAGCCCTGATTCCTTTCCACTTTCGGCTCAGGCTATGTTTCCTAGGTCTCCATTTATTATCTTGGGAATCCTGGGAACCCCATATTTCAGCCACTTATTTGGGCTCCGGTGGCAAAACCAGCAATTTTTCTGAGTATGATTGAAAAGCATTTTGGAAAAAATCATTTGTGTAACTATATGCCAACTACAATTGTATTTAACTACAGTACAGCTATCACTCCATATGGATCCAAGATTTAGACCACCTTTTGCAGATGAAAAGCCCTACAGGATTTCAGGTGCTTTCGGAAAAATCCGTCACTTGTTCCACTGCACACAGTGACTTGGTTAGAGGAAAAACAACAGAAGCGGAAAGCTTTGGCTAAATAAGAATGATATATCAAAACACCCAATATTTTAATGAAAGAAACTGAATATCCACACATTTGCACTTCTGTACAACTTTTGTGATATATATATATATAATTTTAAGCTGTTTACAAATAACATTTAATGCTTCAAATATTACATAATGTTGATATTATATTTCTAGCAGAAATAAATATATTGCACTTAAAAAGAAACTTTTCATTAGATGTTGCTTCATAGTTCATGTTCATAACTTCTTTTTCCATAAAAAGATTTCCCCCTACCCCCACCCCATACACACAAACACACACTTCAGTACATGGTGAATGTGCTCACGCAATGCATTATAAACAACAAAGTCAACACAGCAAACAGCAGAACTGTGGTACATTCTGTTAAAGAGGTTACATCCAGTTTTTTACCTTCCTTTTTTTAAACCAAATCTTTCCTCATGTTTCTGAAGGTACAATAAAAAAAAAAAAATAAAAAGATTGTTTAAATGTGCTAAAGGTAAAATACAGCAAACTGTATTTTTTGTCCTTAAACTATCATAAAAAGTTACTTCAGAGTTTACTTAAATCACTGCTTAGTTTTCTTTTAAAAAGATAAAATAAAGAAAAAGAAGTTGTCATTTGATAAACTAGAGACTATATGCAAGGACAATTTATCACAGAGTAATACATAAGTCCTCTGGCCAGCAAGTGGTTAGTAAAGAAACCACATCTCCTGCAGCAGAAAAACTCTGTAAGGAACAGTGAGAATAAGATCTCACCAAAACCAAAAATAATCTTGCGGCAAGTGAATGTCATCCCTCTGCAGATGATGAGTATAAGCGCTGTGGCCACAACTTACTCCCAGATAAGGAGCCCTAAGTGTTACACTGATCTCATTGTTGCTTTTACCCCTTATCTAGGGGTAAATTACCACACTTTGTATTAACTTACAGTTTTGGAAAGCTCCCCGAGTTTTTGCAATAATTTTCATTGACATTTCTGTTTCCCTATAGTACACACGCATGAAGAGGATGTAGTGCATCATCAAGTTGCCAGCCAAAATGTTTCAGTTTAAAAGAGGTTCATTTTCAACTGCTGGTTAGTTTTTGCTGGATATTGGAAGCTGCTACATCTTACGTGTACATGCTCACACAGTGTCCCGGCTTCCATGGATAAAGCCTTCTGGGAGAAAATTTGTTATTGCCTTTCATAGACTGTACTACCAAGTATGTTAGCTATAATGCAACATACCATCTTTGAACTTGTGAAGAAACATTCCCACTAGAAAGTCTGCACCTTTATCCACTTGGTCTGTGCTTGTTTGTCAGTTTATACCTAGAAGAGTACCACTGAAACTAGTGGCATTGCGTTTCTATCTTTGACAGTGCCTCGGGCCATATAAAGCAATACTGCAAACCAAACAGCCGAATTTAAAATGCTTTTTATGTCTAGCTTCTCTCAGGCTTCCAAAAGTAGAAGAAAAAGAACAGACAAATGCATCTAAGTCAGTTTTGTTGGTCTTTGGGATGCTTTTGTTGGATTAAAGACGTGAGGCTGTTGACTATCTATGGATAAAAGGGTAATCCAGAAAACACCCAAAAGTACTTGTAACACTTTGGAGGATAATCTTATAATTCTGTTTGAAAAGCATTTTCAGGCATGTTCTCTCCACCCTGAAAAAAAACCAAAAAACAAAAAACAAAAAGCAATATAAACCAGCACCAGTTTGCTCAGCCAAGAGAGCTCATAAAGGTGAAGAGCACTTCTCATGGGATATGAAATGTGAATTATACTGGAAAATAAACTCTAGCTTGTATTTGGCATTCCTAGACCATCCACCAGCAACAGATGTTCTGTCCTGAAAGTGATATAATTTTGACAGCAGTACAGCAACTCCTTAAATAAATTACTGAGTTATTGTCAAAGTAGTACAGATTATTTTTTTTTTAGGAAAAGCGATTTCACTCTTTGACCAACTGATTATGAATTTACATTCATTTTCTTCCAATTGTGAAACCAATGGTAAAGCTGATTTGAAGTTGTTTTTTAGTCTTTTCTGTAGAGTTCCTATATTGTTGCTGTCACTATGGTCCCTGTTCTTACAGTTAGACTTTATTTTTAGGTGGGAATGTTGATTGAAGTTTCGTCTCCATTACAGTCAAGAAATTTGCGGCTGACTTCAGCAGGGCAGGAATTTTATCCCTGGAAAC